TGTGTCTCACCTAAAAAATCCACTGCGCAGGCTCGAAGGGTCAATGACCTTTCCCAAATCAGCCGAAGACTGGCCATACTACACTTGTTTGCAGGGGGTAAATTGGCCCCAAAGAAATCAAGCTCCGATTTCCATTCCCAAGTCATCCCTTCACGCTGCAGCAGGTCCCAGGAGGGATCCCTTCCCACCTTGGGAAAGCTGCTAAAATGATTTTCTCTTCTCCGCACAACAAAGGTCTCCAAGGTGACTGCACTAAATCAACCGCAGTGGTGTTGAACAGCCTCGCTCTCCCGCCCAAGGAAACTGGGATTTCGCTCCCTGAGCTCCCTTCCCAGGCCAATCTGCAGGGGAAATCAATTCCCGTCAATCGGCACCCACACGAGGCAGGCACCTGACCCAGCCCAGAGCCAACAAGCTCCTCTGTGTGCACACAGGGGAAGCAGAGGTGCCCTTCAGAGCCCTCGTGGTCAGCGGGATCTGCTTATTCACCGCTGGCAGCTCAGCCATCGCATAACGTGATCCCGGCAGATCTCCTGATCCCCCTTCCCGCAGTAATCCCGGCCCCGCGCACAGGGAGCACCCAGGCAGGCTGCAGGGAGCAGAGGGAGGTTAAACATGGGCACGGAGCACACAGAGGTGGAGGCAGCTGAGCCTCCGGGATTTTTTAGCTTTGCGAGGGAGCAACCAACGGGATTCGCCCTCGGAGATACAAAATTAGAGCTGTGCATGGGAGGCAGGAAGGGCACTGACAGCCCTGCAGAGAGTGCTGGCCAGGACACAGCAACAGGGAGAAAACATCCCAAAATACCACAGGAGGTCTAAAGCACCCACCCAGCTTGGGGAGAGCTCACGTGGCAGGTCAATAGAACCCTTTTGCCAGCAGCAAGATCCCAAAGCTCCAGGACACGCTCCATGCAAGCCTTGAGCCATTAACCAAGGCACAGGGACACTGCCCAGCCCGGGCAGGCCAGGAGAAGGTCAGGAATCTGGACACAATGTCACAGCTTATGCCCCAAATCATTCTCGTGGCAAGAACAGTGCTGCTTATGGCTGCATTAAGGTCACCAGAGAGGAGAATCCCTGCTCTAAGAGCAGGAATATCCTTTACCACAATGCCAGCAGGCCCCTATTCCAGTTGTCAAACCTCCTCCAGATGCACAGGTCACAATTCCTACAAGGATTTTGCCCAAGCCATCAGATGATGCTGCTCTGAACAGAACCACATTTGCCTTTTTTTACTTTGACACAATAATAGAAATTTCAGACTGGCATCCCTATGCACAGCCCAGCATCTTGTATCCCAGGCACTCACAATGACAGATTTTGCAAATACCTTCAAACATCATGTTAAATATTATTTGCAGCATTTCTCCCTTTTTTTTTGACTGGAGAAGCTGCTTCAGCTCCTTAACACCACAAATCTAAACACACCGAGCTTGACAAGACAATTTACAGCATCAGTTCCTTAAAAAAGCTTCACTAAAAAACTCCTGGAGTCTAAATTTCAGCAACTCATCTTCCACAGCCTGACAGAGCACTGCAGTGCCATAAAAGAGCAGCAAATCCTGATTTAAAGGCCTGCTTCCCAGTTCTGAAGGGACACTTGAGCTCCGGGAGGCTGCTCAGTTTTAACAGCTGTACCAAATCTCACTGTATATAAATAATAAAACTCCTCTGTAGGAGCTCACAAGGCACATTTATCAACAGAGCAAAATCTACCAGCCCCATAGGTGTGGTTTTGGTGATATCCCAACAGCCAAAGACTGAGCTTTGTATGCTGGTAGGATGCTGCTCACACAGAATTTGTGATCATGACTGTGTGGCTCTGCTGGAAGTTAACAGGACACAGCAAGGAACAAAGAGCCCCAGCTCACACTCTGCTCCCAACACTTACGGAAGCATGAGGGATGCCAACGGGATTTCTCTGATTTCCTTTCTACTAGCAAGGCTCAGCACCATGCTGGGTAGTCTTGCCTCTCCTAAAATTTGACTTCTTTTCTCACAGCTCCAACAGATCAGGCAGAGGATGCCAGCAGGGAACCGAGCCTGCTCTGCACAGCGCCCGTGTCCAGGCACAGCGGAATTCCAGCCT